GGCATGAGTCTGCGGCTGCTTCTGGGGTGGAGCCGGCGGCAGCCGCGGCCCCGGGGCGGTGGTTCCGGCCCCGGTCCCTGGGGCCTCCGGGGGAGAGACCTCGGGCATCCGCCCCCCCGCCCCCCCAGCGACCCCCGGTCCAGAGCTCTTACCAAAAATAAAATACAACGTTTAATGAGATCAAGGGGGGGTACAGGGGGGGACCCCCCAGCAGTGGGGCCGGGGCACACGGCAAAGAGGCGGCGGGGCCCGATCCTGGAGGTTGCGGGGGCGCAGCTCCGATGGCTAGGCTGTCAGGATCCGGCCCCCGCCCCCGGCTGGAGACTTCAGGAGGGCAGCGCCAGCTGGGGGGGGGACCCTCGGCCCAGCCCTGGGCGGGGGAAACTGAGGCGGTGTGGGGCAAGGTGAGTTGCTGAGAGAGTGAACCCGGGCATCCCGGTTCTAGCCGCTCTAACCACTAGACCTGCCTGCTTCCCCGGGGCTGGGGCCCAAATCCTGGAGCCCCAGCTCCCCCCCAGCAGGGGCAGAACCCAGGAGTCCGGGCTTCTGGCCCCCTACTCCGCCGGCGGGACCCCCCCAGAGCCCACTCCTCTCCCAGGCCTGGAAAAGGAACCCAGGAGTCCTGCCCCCCCACTCTAACCACTACACCCTGCTACTTCCATTGCTCCGCTGGAGAGAACTGGCCTCACATAGGGGGCAGTGACATGGGGGGGACCACGACCCCCGCTCCCTTCCCTCCCCTGGGGTCTCCACGCACGCACGCATGCACGCACACACACACGCACGCACACGCACACACACGGGCCTCCGTGCCTCAGTTTCCCCTGCGTGAGTTGGGGTCAGCACGGCAAAGGGGGAGAACAGAAAGAAAGGGACAAGGAGAGGGCAGAGACCCCCCCCACCCCAACCACCACCCCCCTCCAGGCACAGACGCCCCCCAGGAGCTGGCTCCGGCCCCCCTTCCCCACAGTCCTCCAGGGCCCAGGCTGGGCCCCCTCCAGGCGGGGGCAGGCATGTGTGTGGGGCACTGCTCGGGTGCAGCTCACAGCGCCTGCGTCTTCAGCTCCAGGGGCTCCCCGGGCGGCTCTGGGGGCGAGTCGGCCTCCGCAGGCTTCTCGCCCTTGAGGATGGCCAGGCGCTCGGCCATGCCCCGTGGGCGCGGGAACAGGATGAAGTCGTAGAGCAGGCCGCCCACGGCGCCACCGATCACTGGGCCCACCCAGTACACCTGCGGGCAGGAGAGGGGGTCAGGGCCACGGGTGGGGGTGGGGGAGAAAGGCACCAGGGTGATTCCCAGTGAGCGCTACAGGGCCCAGGACATGCGGGAGAGTGGAGGCTTGTCCACAGCCCCTTTCTGCTGTGGAAATGCAGCCGGTTCTGGGGTGCAACAGGACAGGGATTGGCTCCCCAGCTCTGAAATGCAGCTGGCTCTGGGGTGCAGTGGGGCAGGGATCGGCTCCCCCGCCCCTCTCTGAAATGCAGCTGGTTCTGCAATGCAATGGGGCAGGGATCACCCCCCTCCCCTAACTCTGAAACACAGCTGGCCCCGGGGTGCAACGGGACAGGGATTGCCCCACCCCAATCTGAAATGCACTAGTTCTGGGGTGCGACGGGGCAGGGATCACCCCCCCGCCCCAGCTCTGAAATGCAGCTGGCTCTGGGGTGCAGTGGGGCAGGGCTAGCCCCCCCCCCAGCTCTGAAACAGGAACCCCAGCCCCCGCACTTCTCAGGCAGCAGAGCGCCTCCTGCTGCCCCCGCTTACCCAGTGGTTGGTGAAGGTGCGAGTAAGGATGGCAGGCGCGAAGGAGCGCGCAGGGTTCATGCCGGCGCCTGTGTAGTACATCTGTGGGAGACGGCTGCTGTGAGACGGGACTCCTGGGACCCCCGCCATAGAGACCCAACCTAGATCGTCCCCGGGACCCCTCCCCTGTCTCCAGAGAGCTGGCTGAGGGGAAGAGGGTCACTCTACCCCACCATCCATGGTCCTGGCTGGGGTGGGGGACCCTCTGGATGGGTGCAGGGGTGGTTGGGCAGTTGGGGGAGGAATTAAGCAAATGAGAGGGCGTGACAATGCATATGCAAATAAAGCTGGGGGATTTGCATAAAGGCCACCAGACTCTGAGCAGGCAGGGCTGTGCCCCACCACTGCCACAGGGGTGGGGGGGGACACAGAGCCTGAGCATGCGTGTGCATGTGCGTGCGCGTGTGCATGTGCGTGCATGTATGTGATGCCTGTGCGCACGTGTGTGAGTATGTGTGCATGCGAATGCGTGTGCATGCATGTGTACATGCAAGCCTTACCCCGAAAAGGTGGCCGAGGGTGAGTGAGAGTCCCACGGCCAGGGCCACGGAGCCCATGCGCCCATTGCGTCGCTCATCGTAGGTGGCAAAGATGCAGAGCACGAACTGCAGCGTCAGGAAGATCTCCACCGTCGTGGCCTGGCCCAGGCTCAGGCTCGGGTGCATCTGTTGGTGGGGCGGGCGGACGGACAGACAGACAGATGGGTTGGGGGGGGGTCCAGCTGGAGGCATTCATGGCCCCCCCCCAGTCCAGCCCTGAGTGCCCCTCCCCACAGCTTGCAGCCATTGTTACCCACACTGCTTTGCGACACTCTGCCACCCCCCCAGCAATGCCCTGCAGGGGTCCTACCCCATCCGCAACCCCCCTTCCTCTTAGGGGAAGCTACAGGGCCCCCAGCACCCATCCCATCAGGCACCCCAGATCTGGTAGCCCCCAAATCCACCCCCAATTAGGGGGGCACCCCCAGGTAGAGGGTTCCCCAAATCAACCAGTCTCTCCCCAGCTAGGGGGAGCACCCCAGTTAGACACACCCCAGCTAGGGGACCCCCAAAATCCACCCTAGACCCACCCCAGCCTGGGGGGCACCCCAACTAGGGGGCCCCCAAATCCATCCCCACCCCAGCGAGGGGATACCCCCAGTCAGACACCCCAGCTAGGGACCCTCCCCCAAATCCACCCCACACAGACCCCAGCTAGGGGGCCACCCCCAGTCAGACCCACCCCAGCTCAGGCCCCC